TATGGGCATGCCTTGCTGTGCACAAGGTTTGAACCAAAATTCTGAACTGTTTTGCAAAAACCCCTTCTGCAATCCTCACAACTTGATGTTTGCCAAACCTTCAAGTGGCTTAGTCCATTTCCTGGTAAGTTCAGCACACTCTTGTTCAAACTTGATCAAGGTTGAATTTGTCACCCTAAAAATGATGAAGCCTTGCTGAGTTTTGGATAATTCTAAGCATATCCAGCTTTAAATGTCAGAAGGTTCCCAGAGATCTATAAAATGCTGATAATGAAAATAAATCGGTCAGACTTTATTAGATTCCAGTATTAAATGGTCATTAAACAGATTACTTGGGGAAAATGTCCACTGTGCAACATGAGCAGCATGGGTGAAGGCAGAGCTTTAGAGAATGGGCAAGCATGGGTAAAAGCATTCCCAGGACGGAAACTCAGAGGTAGAAGGATGATGAGAAAGGGAATTGTGCTGCAAAACTAGTACTGAACAGGAAAGAAGCACGGAGGGGAAAAATATAAAAGGGAGTATTTAAAACAACCGTATAATTAATTTTTTTCAGAAAGGATAGAACATTATAACAATTAACTGAGTTGTGAATATTGCGCTAGGATATCATCCTGATAAAAGAGAAGGAAATGGCCTATACAGTCATCTAAGAAAAGAGTAGTCAGACAACATTTAAAACAAGAAACTATGGAGCCTGCAAATTATTCTAGAAAGCCAGGCGGTGCATACTGTCTTCTACTTGTTGATCAGCAGCATTCTGATATTGTCCAAACAAGTAGGAGAGGCTGCAATCTTGGCTTACCCAAAACAATTACCTGTTACTGTGATCTGATTATCATGCTAATAGTTTGGCTCATCTGCTCCTGAAAACCAGCTTGTTCTTTTCTAATACAGGTGAAAAATGCCATGTAACTCTGAGAGATAAAGACAACCAATTTAAATAGTCTGACGAATATTTATCATCATAAAAATCTTGTTCTAGATACTGCTTCACTGACTCAGCGATGTGTATTTTGTTCTTCTCTGCTCAGCTGCAGTTGGGGTGCAGGGGGAAGTGCTCTCAAGTAATACTAATCTTCTATACTGCTTTCTGGAGAAGCCCAGTAGCTATCTTATTTGTCACACGTGGGAATAAGATAGAAAGATTTAGAAGACAACGCTGTTAAGAAAAGTTCTCAGTAACCTCTGTACCCCATCTAGACAAGTTACAGACTCTGTCAGCATTGTTGATCAGACCTGAAGAAATCCCAGCTTGCGAAACACCTGAAAAGACTAACAGGTGGCATAACTCTAAAAGGGTTTTCTGTCAGTCTTCCTGAAATTATTAGGTGCCCTCAAGGGTTGGTAACTTGAGTTTTATATGTGGTTTTTATAGTGTTTCCCAGGTTCTCGAAACAAGGTGAAAGCTCCGTAACTCCACGTGCTGATGGACAGGGGAGTTGCCTTAATATTAAGCACAGAAATACAACTTGAATTTTTTAATTTATGATTGGATAAGTGAAAGTTATACTTGGAGAGCGTGTGGCATATGATCTAACACTGTCCTCCATTGTCCAAGTACTCCTCCCTTGGGCTTTAATCATGGGGTGCTGGAGGCAGAGTTTTTTTTTACCAAAAGAGGGAGGCCCCAGCTCTGGATCTTGCTTTCCTAGTGGATTTGCTGGTTGACTTTCAGTGCAACTTGTTTTATCAGGTTCTTTTGTTTTGGCAGAGATACATAGCTAGGTAGAAGGTGATAGCTTTTATTAATTTGGAGGCTGCTTGTTTGCTATATCTCACTTTTCCTTAATATTGTCCCAACATTTACTGTGTTGGTTGTGTGGAATTTGAGGGATCTTTTTCAACCTTCCCAGCATGTTTGACACTTTGCAGAATAAAAGATTTGCTGTATGAACTCACAGCTCTTCCAGAATCAGAGTATGAACAGGGTATGCAGCAACAAAACAGTCAGTGCTCGGTTACTGAAGTAACCCTACAGTCTTCTCAGTCCTCAACCTTTCAGCCTTCAGCCCTTTGCTGTGATGTATCCGGTGGAGGTGTGATCTTGTGATCCAGCTTGTGCTTCGAGCTTACAGTTCTGGAGAGGACTCTCTGCTCCTGGCAGAGTAGTGTTGGGTTCAGCCTGCGTCCTCATGACTCAGTGCTGAGTTGTGGCAACAGGAGTGCTGCAGTCAATGTTCTTGAGCTTAGGAGGCTAAGCCCTGGGAAGTAACAATTGATTTGGTTGGTCTTTATGGTCTGTTAGGATGCCCTTCGTAGATCTGCACCCCCAAAATGTTTTTAGATCTCTTATGAACACACATTAATAAAGAACAATTTTTGTATGTTAATGCTGTTTTTAAAATAAGCCAAGTAGTAGCTCTCAGTCTTAATTTTTACTTGTAGTTTTTATATTACAAGAGTAAGTGCTGGGCATAGGGAGGAAGGTATGACTCACTTGTACTAGGATAGGAAAGTTGTCTGCTTGCCCTGGTACCGTGAGAGAAGCTCAGGTACAAGGTGATGGAAGTGTCTACCTTGAGTCCTCCAATTAAGAGCTATATTCCTTCTAGTACCTTGGTGTTAAATTAGACTGTTCAGATAACTCCACTGGTGATAGTTTAATGTTTGAGAGTGGGAATGCTTTGAATGACTGAATTCCCAGTGTCTTTATTTTCATCTCTGGTATATTATTAAAGAGCTACTAATTCAACTGCTTTTCATTAAAGGGAACAGCATATTTCCTTTATATCTAATTAGGAACAGTATATATGTAATGTTCTCATTTGAATCATCTAGGATTTCAATTTTTCCCCCAATATGGTCAAGAGACATTACATATGATTCAGGTTTTGTTCCAAGGTTGTTTTGGTATTCAGTTTAGCACTGCTTTGTAAGAGGAATGGAAAGCACTGTGAGCCTGGTCTTCTGCAGGAGTCCGGTAATGCGTGTTTTTCTTGTTCCTCAAGATAGTCCTGGAGCAGTCTGAGCCAATTTTTAACACTGTTTAGAAAATATAATGAACATGATACAACTTCCTAACTGTTACAAAAAGTTACATGTGTAATAGTGACAGCAGAATTATTCATTTGCTTGAGCATGTGCTCACACAGTTAAGCAAGTCTGAACTGCAGTTTGAGGGGAGATCATTTCAGAAAAGAAAATTAGATGTAGGTAATGACTCAAAACAAAATTTGAGCATTGGCTACCCAGCTTATATTAAAATAGATGGAACCAAATGATTGAACAAAACCACATTATTTCAGCCTTGTTGTAAACACAGTTGCTCTGTTTGTAATGTGATCTATAGAAAAAACAGAAGCCTGAATTAGCTCTTGTTCAGGATGGTTTTGAAGCTGCACACAAAGTGTAAACCCCTGCTAAGTTTTTATTTAAGGAAAGTTCCTTATGAGCAGCTTGACTTGATAAAATGTGAGTACATGATAAAGTGCTCTGCTGAATTAGAACCACCAACTAAAGGAGAAAAAACATTGCTTTTTATATGTTTAAAATGGTAAAGTAGGCTGAATATCTGAAATTATTGCTTTAAGAGGTAAATTCAGGTAATCATTTAAAACACAGAGAATTGAGAATGTTTAACGAAACAGTTCAGGTATTAAGAAATGAGGGTCAAACCTTACAGTCCATACTTACGCAAACTTCAGGTCCTGCTGAGTTCATTATGAATAAACATGTCAAAATCTGTCTGTAAGTTATAGTCTCCTTTAGCAGGAAAACCTCAGCAGAACTTGGGAGAATTATTTTCAGATTTATTTTAACTAATAAATATGCAAATATGTTTTGTTTTTTTTTTAAATTAAATTACATCAACAATTCCATGGAAGTATTCTAGAGAATGTGAGCCTGCTGCTGAATGGGAATGTGGTCACAAAGACCAAGGAGAAGGCTAAAGTGATGAATGGTTTTTTGACCTCAGTTTTTGAGGAGCAGGTTAGGGCATATGTGAACAAACTCAAGGTATGAAGGTTCATGGGCCGTGATAGGGGATGCTGCCACAAGTGCTGAGGCAGCTTTCTGCTGTCAGCACAAGGTCACTGTCAATAATTTTTGAAAAGTTGTGCTGACTGCATAGGTCCTCAAGGGAGGCAGGTGATCCTTCCTCTCTACTCAGCACTAGTGAGACACATTTGGAGTACTGGGTCCAGTTCTGGGCTACCCAGTACAAAGAGGACATGAATGCAGTGGGATGAGTCTAGTAAAGGTCCATGAAGATGATGGAATGGAGCATCTGACAAATGAGGGGAGGCTGAGAGAGCTGTGACTGTTCATTCTGGAGCTGGAGAATACTCAGGGTGGACATGATGTGATACCTGTAGGAGGGTGCAAAGGAGGAAAACCAGATCTTCTTAATGGTATCCAGTGACAGGACCAGAGGAAATGGGCACAAACTGAAATACAAGAAATTCCATTTAAACATAACAAAAAACAAAATGTTTTTTCCTTGGTACAGTGGGGTTGGTGAAACACTGCAGCAGATTTCCCACAGACCTGGTGAAGCTGCCATCTATGGAGGCATTCAAAATCCAACTGGACATGTTCCTGGGCAGCCTGCTCTAGGTGACCCAAGCAGGGGCTTGGACCTGGTGGTCTCAAGCAGTCCCTGCCAACCTCCACCATCTGTGGTTCTCTGATCTCTTAGCTCTTTAGACAGCTCACCCTCAATTGCACCTCTATTGCTGGGGTTTTTCTTTCAATTTTGGGGCATCTGAAGACATACTGACCACTTCACAAAAAAGGTAGTGGGTTGATTGCAGGTGTGAAGCAACTTTTTGTTCATTCCTTGTATATTTAATGGGATTTAAAACTAGCATGTTTCTCTTTGCAGTACTGCAGTCTGGCTCCATTCTTGCATGTGTGTTTAGTCAGAGTACTAAGAGAATCTGTATAAATAGTCCTGTGTTATATAATACAGAATTTAACATCAATAACTAATTTCAGATCATTAACAAATATTGTAATAGAGTGAACGTGTAACACCCTCCTACTCTGTCTTTCAGTCGTGGCCTGTATATGAAGAAGTATACAACAAAATGCTTGAGCTTGCAGTGTTTTTAGACCTCCCTCGTTTTCCAGATATTACAGACAGCTGCTTTCTTCATCCAGACATGTTGTGTATGAAGTACTTGATGGAAGCTAATTTACCTGGTAAATATTTAGCCTAGCCTGAACTAATAAAATTTTTCCGTGGTTTATTAAACTCTAGCAAAAAAGGGTTGAATTGCTACTTTAAAAGTACCTGCTCTTTTCCTTCTGATTTATTCCCATTTGAGCTTGAGCTGAATGATATTTCTTCTACAGAAAGCACCTTCATCAAACATTTAGAGTATGTATTATAGGCCCATATAAGCAGGGGCACTCTGGTGTTGACTCTCTAAGGTTGTGGAGTGGATACTTCATTTCAAATCTTTCAGTATCCATGTGAACTAAGAGACACTATTTGAATTCACGTGATTTATTAACTTAAGCTAAATGATTCAGGAGCTGGGACCTGATTGCTTAGCTCTGGAATTCTTACATATAATAATGACTGTCTAATCTCTAACATATATTTTGTGTATCATATAATATTGCATCTTGGCATTCATTTTCATATTGACTGATTCTGTGTGACAAATCAGCTGCTGTCTCATTTGATTTGTGACTCAGTTCTGAAATCGTATATTGATTAAATACTGACTCTTTGTCTTGCCTGAAATTAAGTCTTGAATATTGAATTGCCGAAAGAAAGACAGATACGTCCTAGTATGTGAATTGTCTGTTGGGTTACCACATGTTCTATCAAATACCACTGGCACTGAAGATGAGTTGCACAGACAAATGACCTGTAAAGTTGGCTTTTTTCCCTCAAAGCATTCCAGCAATTAATAGTAGGGGAGGGAACTATTGTCCTATTTTGTGATTAGTTAGGTTGAGTAAAGGTGTTTGGTTTTTCTGTTTACTCACAGTTGAATGAAATGAAGATAGACAACAGATTTAGGGCTAAAATTCCAGAGTAGAAATTCTGGGTTTGTAGTTTTACGCCAGTGTTGTGATTCTGTAGAGGATCCCCTAATTTTGCAGATTGTGAAGTATTAATTGAATCAAAGAACAGGCTAGAAATTTGTCATTTTCAGATTTATTACAGAGACATACAAAGCTAAGGACTCTTTGAAAATAGCTGTAGAAGATTATCCTTTTTCCTTGCAACTAAGTGTTTCATTATGTGGAAGCATTTCGTACAAACTGAAAAAAGATTGCTGCTGCTGTCTGACAACTCCTAGAAAAAATAAACAATGAATTGGCAACATTTCTTAGGACACTTAAATACTAATGAAAAGACCATTTTAAGTATCTGATATAAAAGCAAATATATATTTATAAGAAAATTTAGTTTCCAGGTTTTGTTTAACTTTTACTGTTATGTATGAGAGAGTCAAAATCGAGATCCTACTGAACTCTTTGTAAGCAGCAAGAGAGTATAAAGTATAGCTGGATTAAGGTTGTACTTAGTCATACATTGCTAACCTTTGTGGAATCTGACAGTGATGTAATCAACTCCTGTATTTCTTGCTGAGCAGGAAAGGTGAGAAATTTGGGGGATTTGTATCTGTGAAAAATAAGCAGAGTAATAAGAGACTGTATAGATATAGTGCTGCTTGTGGAGCTGTAGTTGTATCTTTTGGCAGAGCCTGCGTTAGCGGGAGATTGGGCTGCACAAGGTAAAGCCAGGTGTGACCTCGCCAGGTTTGTCAGCAGCAAGCACTGCCCACCACGACTAAACTGCTCTTCATAGCCAGCTCACTTCTTTCAAACTAGCCCCTGCTCCTCCTCTGTGCAGTGCTGAATCCACCCTGCCATATGTGTTTAGTCAAAACACAGGAAAAAAATTTGTGACAAGTTTTTGGCTTTGGGGTTTTTTTCTGAAACTATTTATGTGGATTTGTGATGGGCTTTCCCATAGGAATGTTCAGGATGATCTAATGACTTCATTCATGTAACATCAAAACACTGTTATGTATGCGATCTCTTTTCTCCATGTGAATATATAGTACCTTACAAGTGTTTTCTTTGTGAGCACAGTGAAGGTTGCCTGGTAATTTTAAAAATACCCCAAAATACTCCTCAGCCTGAAAAAAAAATGGCTATCTAATGGTCCTAGAAGACCTAAGCGTTGTTTTCCTCAAATGATCAACATATTTGCACTGTAAAGTATTTATAGCTTGTCATAACATGCTCTTTTTATATTTTTATTTATATTAATCAGATGAATTGCATACTTGGACGTGTCGAGTGGTGAAAAAGGTTGGGATTGGGAACGTGGATTTCCTGACTCTTGTGCCTGGAAATAAGTCAACAAGAAAAGTGAAGTATGATGTTCTCGCTGCAGCAGTTATTGTAGTTGTGCTCAAACTACTGTTTTTATTAGATGATCGCTATGAATGGTAAGTGTACAGGCAAATCTATACCAAAACTCGGATTTCAGGTAGTGCAAACGATTGTCTCAGATTGCTCTTTCTTTAGTAATATTAAATTTTTAAAAACCATTGGTTTGAAACTGAAACTTGGAATAAAATTAGGGTGTCTTTTTTGTCAGTTGTCCTTGAACTTCATATGAAAAGTGCAGTATTTGGATCTACAAAACAGCCTGATTTTTTTTTAATATTTTTTCAGGTTACTTTCAGACTTTGCTGAAGAAAGAAATAAAAATAACAAAGAAGGTACATAAATATTCTGGTCTTAGTCTTATGGTTTTGTAAATGAAACAGCTGTGTAATTAGGCTTAGAAAGACTTCTCTTATTGATCATAAAATGTGTTTTTGTCACTTATCCTCTTAGGGCAAGTCTTTACTCAGAGAAAAGAGTCCTGTTCACATGAAATGGCCTCGGTGTACATGCTTAATTCTTACTGTACTGGGTAGGGGAGTTCGGTGCACATTTTGCTAGGTGCCCCTGCTTCTGCTTGTGCATGTTTGCCTCTTGTTTTAGACTTTTATGCTTGCTAGGTGGAGATGAATGGATACGCAGAGAAGAGGGAATGCACTTTGATCATAAATAGCAGATACCTACTAGGGGCATCAAACCACGTTTATGATAAAATCCGAACTTGTTTAGTCTTGTTAAATAAAATGTCTTAGTGTGTAACATATTTCAGATGTAATCTAGTTTCTTAGTCCAAATAATCCTGAGAGAGTGTGGAAAAGCTAGCAGCAATTAAGATAGAGGAGATAATGGTGTGAACATGGTTCTTTGAGGGCAGAAAGACCAAATCAAAGATTAGAAATCTTCAGGAAGATGTGCCATGGCCCAATCCAGATCACAGTTGAAGATAAGATCCAAGATGTGTTACAGTGGCTTATCTATTAAGCCTTCCATCCAATTTTGGGTCCATTTTGACCCTTCTGTTACTATTTAAAATTTAAGCCAGTAACAAAACTGGTGCTGGCTCTGCATGAGCACAATTACTGCTGTAACTAGAGACAGTCATCGCTGTTAACTAAATCTGCTGATTTTCAAGTGGATACACAAAGTTATTGTAGATTTTTTTTCTTTATTTCCCTTGAAAACTTGAAGTACATAATAGTGACAAGAGTGGGAGTTGTGCAACTGCTTTACAAGCTGAGGCTCACAGCCATCAATGTCTTAATGGGGTTTCTCCCTTATTAACAAGTCTCATTGCCCTTGGGAATTAACAGATCATTCTTTGCCCATTTTTTTACTTTTAAATCTGCTGGTGCAAAATGATCCGTATGGTCTGTTATGTTTTCCCTATCCTTAAAATGTTGGGGTAATGGTGAGCAGCTGTGCAGAGGAGCTGATGTGAGAGTTTCTGTTAGAGCACTGATTGGTGCCAAAGTTCAAAACTGCCTCTGGCATTTTCCCAAAGTTAGCGTGCTGAAGTGAATAATGGGTAATACTGAGTTTTAAAGATTCAATTTATGTTGACTCCATTCTCAATGTAACTATTCTTTCTCTAGTCCTTTTTTGATTTTAATTAAAAATATTTCAGCTCCTACAGTTCTTCAAGAGACACTGGAAGCAGTACAATAGATAGCTATAGTTCCTTAGTGTGTGTGTTCTGTGAACTGCACATATACACAATATGGTTCATGTTCAAATCAAACATGTGGTTGAGAGATGTCTGTGTGTGTGTGTGTGTGTGTGTGCATCGCAGAACTGTGTATTTTCCAGTCAGCTCATCTATACGAATGGGTTGCACTCGATGATCTTTGGGATCTTTTCCAACCCGATTGATTCTATGATTCTCTGAACATCACACTAGCAGTGCTGGCCAGGAAAATGGTTATTACAGTGTAGCATTATGCTTCTGACAATGGTTTTGCTTGTGACAGGTGCTTAATAATTCATATTAAGTTTAAGACAAATTTCTACCACCCCCAAACTGCCCTCCCAGCAGTTTAGGAGTATTTACTTAAACCTCTTGGTTTAAGGAGTTGATAAAAGAAGTTGTATCCACACCTTTGAATTTTAAGAACTACCGAGGGGTCTTTCTTCCCTTCATTTGTCTGTTGCTTTTTGAGCCCATCTATATTTCTAGCACCTAGGCATCCTGTGGCAGGATAACACAAATAGCAAAAATGCAGAGAACACAAAGCATATGCAAGTTTGCTTGTAAGAACTGTATGTTCACCTTCAGAACAGTTTGGACAGCTGTCTGGCAAAGCTCAGCGTGATGCAAGCATCGCACGCGGTGCAGCTGGGGTGATGGGGAAATGCAAAGCCTGGTTAATGCACAATGCAGATAATCCACCCACAGGGAAGAAGAGTTGATTCTAATTTAAGTAGATAAATCTACACTGTATTTCTATTTGGAATTCTTATCCTTACTGTACCCAGTTGGTCTGCTTCAGTCTTGTGCCTCTTTGTAGCATCAGTGATAAAGGTGCTGCTGGACTTCCATGTGCTTCCATGTTTTTTCATGTGCTGGTAGATATTTGTTCATATATCAATGAGTGAAGTTCCTGTGCTCAAAAACATGGGAGGTTGAAACAAAGCGAAGACCATTGTCTAGCTTATCTTTCCAACTCTGTAAGGTTTCATGGGTAGTGGAACTGACAGTTGGGAGCTGAAGACACTGTTTGAAATTTTACATCTGAGCTTCTTTATGTTTTATTTGTTTAAACATAAGCTTGATGTGTAGTTTCATTAATCCCTTGAATTCAGCTTTCAAGCAGGTGAAGACCACTTCACATGGTGGAGAGCTAGTTCATTTAGTAGAGAGCAGGTAGTTTCTAGGCTTAACTTTCCAGAAAAGAGGGAAAAGGTTTTAATTGTGCTAAATCTATGAAATCTAAGCTAAGGGCCTTCTTTGAACTTCTTATGACATGGTGTTCTTTCACTACATTTCTCCTTCTTACAGAACTGTTAGATCAAGCATGTTTTCTTTAAGTTCATGGCATTCAGGATAGGTGTGTATACAGGTGGAAGAGGCAGGGTCTAACTGTGTGGAGACCACTTCTGTGTGCTACACATTTCTTTCATTTCTTCCCAGCTTAGAATGTGTATCTTTTATTCAGGTGGTCCATATTTCGAGTTCAAGAAGTGGTACAAGGTGATAAAACAGTCCTTGGATGTCAAGCAAAAGAAAATGGATGAAGAAAGAGCCAAGTAAGAGGTTATTAAATACTTTTTTTGGTTTTATAGGTAGACAGTTTTATGTGAAATCCTAACCCCCACAGAAATTGGAAAGGTTAGAAATTTACTCCACATGTCCATCCACCAGACTTGAGTGAATAGAACGATTAAATACCTGTCTTAATTTTCTGTTTACACTCCTATTGTTTATCCAGCTTATTAACTAAATGCTCACTTTCTGTGACAAATAGCCCATACAGCTGAACAAAAACTGATTACAATACATCTAGGCTTACATGCCTTGGTTTGCCTGCTCTGAAAAAGACTTCTTAGATGTGTGGGGGGAGCAGTGACCTGTAATAGTATTCACTATTAGATAATTTTTATTTTAATTTAATAACTCTAGCACTATTAATAAGAAATCATTATTACTTGTTTGCTCCAGCTTTTTTTCTTTCCATCAAGTCATATGTCTCTTCCTGGTAGGTGTCTGTGGAGATGTGACAAGCCACTGTTTTATTCAGTCAAGAATAAATCTAAAGTGTTAAAGAAAAGACGTGAGTAAACTTTGCTTCTTCCCAGCAATGCAGAAATCTGCTCCAGCTTTTTCCCATCATAGAAAATCTGCAGCCCTGACTGATAACATTTACATCTTAAAATACTTTCTCTTCTCCCTTTCATCTCTGGGTACAATTAATGTAATACTATTTTACAGCCCGTGGCTGGAATTTTTTAAACATGCATAGCTGAAA